CAAACCCTCCATAATCTCTTGTATCCATTTGACTCCCTCTCTTGTAACCGAACTCCCAACAGTTCTTCAGCTCCACCAGCTCTCTGATTAATGGATCACGCCCTTTTACTGTCCTTCAACCCCTGTTTCACTCCGTCCTTCATTCAGAAAATATATACTGGACACCTCTTGTTCCATGCAGCATTCTAAACACTAGGAATAGAAAATCTCTGCCATCATGTGGCTTTTCGTCTAATTAGTGTCACAAATAATAGGACAAGCTTAATGAAATATTTAGCATGGCGTTGGATCATGACAGTTGGTAAGGAGAAAAATTAAATCAGGAAATGGGGATATGAACTGTTGGCATGGAGTAGGGGAAATGTTTAGGTAGACAGCTAGTGAAGGGAATAAAGACGCTAACCATGTGACTACCTGGGGATGATGCACTGTAGGCAGAAAGCACAGCCAATGGATGCAAAGGTTTATTCAAGGACTCTGGTGTATTCAAGAAATAGAAAGGAGGAAGGAAGTCTAGCCGGAGAAGAAAGGGGGAAGAGAAGAGAAATGGAGGGGGAGGTCAGGAGAGAGATCTGAACTGGAGGTACACATTCGGGAATTAAAGCCACAAGGCTGCAGGAGAACACCCAGGAAATGTAACGGCAGAGAGAAGCGAGGTAAGGCCCTTGCACTGGGCCACCCCACAGCTAAAAGCTCACTCCAGACAAGGAGCCACCAATCAGATCTAGAGAACATGGTTTGCCGGAAGCCCATCTTCCTAGGAGAGACTGTATCCAGGAGGAGGTAAGAATGAATTAGTCAGATGTTGCTGGCGGATCAAATAACATCAGAGCTGAGAAGGGCCCATCGGATTTTGCATTGAGGACCCCACTGGTAATAGTTTGGGAGGGAGTGATAGGGGGCTTGTCTGTATTACCGTGACCATCTCTTACTGGGCTCTTGGCTTTCTTCTTTGTCTTCCCACCGTTTATTCTCAGCACACCCAGCGTGGTGATGACCCATGTATTTATAGGTCATGTCACTCCTCTGCTCAGAATGGCTCCCCATTTAATTCTAATAAAAGTCAAGGACTTACAGTGGCTTAACAACTCTTTATACAAATCTGGTACTTATATTGTACTCCTATTTCTCATTTAATTCTAGAAACTGGCCTCCTGATACTCTCTGAAAATGCCTGGGGCCATGTCACTGCCCCAGGGCCTCAGTATAGTCTGTTCTCTGCATCATCCTGCCCAAGTTCTTACCTACAGGCTAACTTGCTCATCTCATTCAGGTCTTTGCAGCTATTGTAGTATTTTTCAGTGCAGCCTACCTTGGCTGTATTATTTAAAGTTGCAGCCCCCTTACACTCCCCCTATAGTTTTGCTCTCTCTATTATTCTCCATTAGCACTTACCACATTTTCAAATTCTAACTAATAGTTTTTTTTCTATCAGTTGTGTGTATTATCCTACATTCGAATGTCAACTCCATGAAGGCCGAAGTTTTTATCTTGTTTACTGATATATCCTAATGTTTAGAATAGAACGTAAGTCGTGGTTAATGATCAGTAAATATTATCCAAAGTAATAAAATTGAAATAAGTTACTCTTTTCAAAAGCCACTAACTGCTGAAACCCTTGCTAAGGAGAGAAGTGCTATTTTGTAGGCATTTGATGATGTTAGCCTAATACTTGGCTTTTTGCCTCCCTGGGTCCTTGATTCAGTCTTCCCTGAGTCCTTACATGCGTAGGGGAGCTCTGTACATACTTGTCTGCTATTCTGTGAGCCCTGTGGCTGGCATCTGTGATTCATAGGCCGCTTCTCAGAGAGGTGCACAAGTATAACAGCTGTTATGACAAAGTATGACAGGGGGTGTGGTAAGGAACAATGTGTCTCTTAAACTGGGCGATTTTAATGATGGGTCTGATGCAGACACGTGGAGACGGGGAGTCACACCACAGAGAAGCATATAAAATTAAAGGGCTGTTACACTCACAGGTCCGAGCGAGGGAGATGGGTCGTGCCATGCTGGGTCTACATGGGAGAGAGGAAGGGCCCGAGGTCAAGTGCCTTATGGGAGGTCTGGGTGGCACAAGTGGGAGAGGATTTCATCAGTGTGTGTGAATGTCACTAGGTCTCAGTCAGCGGATGCCGAGAAGGCGAACCTGTGTCAGGGACCAGCCTCATGAGCCTGGTGTACTTGGCTCCCTGGGCTGGTGCTCACAGCCTGTTTGTGGGGATGTTAAGGCATCAGGGAAAATATAGCTTAAAAAATTGACAGTACACTGGGTGATGTCAGAAATAAGTGCACAGGGCTTTGGATCCACGTAGAAAAGGCACCCTGGCATTCTGTAGATGGCCTATTTCAGGTGGAATACTCTGTCCCAGGGGTACTGTGGTCCTAAGGACTTGAGTGTAGCCTCGTAAAGCCTATGGAAATACAGGGCAGTGTCCCCCTTCTTTCTTCTATCTCGGGACATCAGGTGTCCTTACAGCCAGAGCGGCAGAGCTGCAGAACCATCCCAGGCTGACCCCTCCCCAGCCTACCTGCCGCCCTCATTGGTCCTCGAATGTTTTTAATCAGTCTTGCTAAATACTTCTGTGGGAAAAAGCAATACTGGTGAGAAGGAACCTTGCTGCTGCTTTATTCTGAGAAATTCCATGACTGATTTACAGACATTGCTTATTCATCACGATATCCTAGTGTAGAAGACGGGATTAAATTTCAGCCTTAAAGGTTATGGGATCCCTCAAGGCTTAGAGTATAGTAATGAAGAATTGAGACCCTAAAAAAGGGATTCCAGAATCTGCATAGCGAATAAACTATTTTTCATCAGGCCTCGCTTCGGATGTGACTTTAGAATTATATGGATAGGAATACGCCGTGTACTTTTTATGGAGCCTTTCTCCACTTTCTAGTTCATATGCAATTTCTTGTCTTCCTCTTCAGTTTAAAGCAAATTCTCTTGTTTTTTTTCTGAGATCCTGCATAATTTCTGGGCCATTTTCCACTGGTCTGGAGTGGCTTTATTAATAAGGACCTCTGAACACGAGTAGAAGCCATTTACTTGACACCCCAAACAAAAGCCTTTTCTGTGGCAATTCTGAGCCTAATTGCCTACCAGGTACTTTCTTCCTCAGAAGATTAACAGAGGTTCCTGTCTTCTTATATAATCAGAGTAATACATGCTCACTAGAGCGTGAGGTCCTCCTGGGCCCCAAATCTAATTCTTAGAGTTCTGGAAAGATCTCCAAAGATAGTATTACATCTTATAGATATGTGCTGTGCTTATCTTAAAGTATTTTATCTTTGACATGAAGCGTCTTATCCAAAGTACACATTTCCATTCTCCCTACACTCTGAAAAGGTCAGAAATAGGAAACTCATTCCAAACTTCATGGTTCTATGTAATTTACTCTTTGTGTTGTTATGGAACCCCGTTCTGATTTATCTGTTACGACAGCGTGCAGTTAATCTAGTTCTTCCTTAGGCTGACAAGCCCTGTCTTGCACTGTCTTCCTTATTGAATCTTCAAACACTGGAGTGTCTCGTGTGTGTTAGGCACTGTGCTGAGAACCGGGCTGGAACCAGTGGGCCCGGGAAACACCGCTCTCGGCTTCCAGGAGCTTCGACCACTTGCTGTTGCTCTAGGCCCTGACCAGCTCAGATCAGTGCTCGGGTGGCTTGCTGTTCTGCTAAAGTCATCCCATCTTTGTGGACTAAACATCATCTAAACTTTTCTTAATGTACTATTTTAAAACCTACAAACTAAATAGTCCTATTTTTAAACAATTTCTAGTTTATTTCAGATAGAATGATTAGTGTCAGTTTTTATTATATATAAGGTTTTCTTACAGTATTTTAACTGAGCTCTTCAGTCCTTCCTCTTTCATGGTCAATGCACCAGCTTTGACTGTGCTGACACACTGTAGGATAAGGCTGAGCAGCAGGAGGGAAGTAGGGCCATGGCCTAATACGTTATGCAGGGGACTGTTACTCTCATACTTGATGCAGGGGACCGTTACTCTTATACTTTATGCAGGGGAATGTTACTCTCATACTTTATGCAGGGGACCGTTACTCTCATACTTTATGCAGGAGACGGTTACGCCATGGCCTTTCACTTCCCTGCAGTCCTTCTTTACTCATTGTCTTATATGTATAAGGAAAGCGTCATAGTGATTTTATATATAAATATCCTGGAACAGTATTTTCAGCAACAGGAAAACATTTAACTAAACTATACTGTAGTCATAGGAAATGCCCTCTTTAGAGTGTTAAGTGAAGAAAGTAACATACCAAACTACAAGTAACAATAACAAAAATTAGCAGTAATATAAATGTCATACTACTAAAAATAACAAAGATAATAGAAGAGTAGCTAACTTTTTAAAACAATCACTATGTTATAGAACATATTCTAAATGCTTTATACTTATTAATTGTAATCGCCTCATTTAATCCCTGCAACAACCCCATCAGTTTCTTGTTACCCAATTTTTGTACGTGAACATATATAAAATATGTAGAGAGTTTGGACAACTCGCTAGGTTCAGTAAAAAGGCAGTACAGTACAGATCTTCAAGAAATTTGAATTCTAGTTAAGTGACAAACTTGTAAAACAAGTTCAGTGTCAAGTGCGGGATGTTACAAAAAGTGGCCAGAGGCAGCGGGTGGGAGAGGCGCCAGCTGCCACGTCCGGAAGGTCCCCAACGGGAAGAATACGTAAACCGAGTTTTAAAGGAAGCTGGCTAGTTTGCCAGTTGGATGAGCAGATGGGAAATATAAAATTTATACTTGAAGCTGGTCTTGAAGCCTGCCTCTGCCACTCGCCAATTATGTCACCTTGAACAAGTAACTTAATCCCTTCATCTGAACAACAGAAATGGTACCTAACATTTCTTTATGGTTTATCAGATACAGTGTAACATTGAAAGCTCTATTTAGGTGCTTGATGCTATTTGATTATTTAAAATTCTTTATACATGTGACTCACAGTTTTACTTTCCTTTGTTTAGGTGGATGTGATTGTGACGTTGGGAGGACTTGCTGGGCGTTTTGACCAGATCATGGCGTCGGTGAGCACCTTGTTCCAAGCAGCTCGCATCACTCCTCTGCCAATTGTAATCCTCCAAGAGGAATCACTCATCTACCTGCTCCAACCAGTAAGTGAGATAGATATAACGTCAGCACTTTGCCCCTACCCCACTTCTCTCAGTTGAGTAGACTAGGAGGAAATGTCGCCATGTGTGTGTCCTTGAACCATGAGTGAAGCTGACCATGTCTGTTTACTCGTGTCCACTTTAGTCTACTGCCTCAGGTCACTGAACAGAAAAAACATGGAGAAGCCCCAAAATTTTCATTTTATTGCACCCAGAGGGAAAAAAAAACCAAAACCCTGTAACTTTTAATTAAATTGACTAAGAATTAAATTTAGCACTTTTGCATTTTGAGCAGCTGAATGTGAGAAAATTCAACAGCGAAAACTCAAAGCTTGGCAAATATTTCAAATGGAATTCTCATGTATTTTCAGTGTTGTCATTATAATTGGAAATTGGATTTGATTTTCTGAAGCACTTAAAAGAAAATCTATAGCTTTTACTGTTCTTAAGTTGACTGCTTATTAATTTCACTGCCTCAAGATAAATTTCTAACAATGATGTCATTCATTTCCAATGATAAACATCAAGGAAATGTCCTATCAGCATAGTATTTAGAACAGAATTCTTATTAAATAAGCAAGGTTTATAAGGTTGATTGGTGAATTTCAGTTTGAAAAATAATCATTTGGTAACATTTTTTTAAAGACAGTAGACAGTTTTTTTTCCCCCCTTTTTTGCCTCTCGTTGTAATGTTCTACTTCCAGTTTTGCTTTTTCTCCATCTACTGCCCAGCATCCATAGCACGTCATTACCTAAATTTGTCCTTTGGTTAATATAGTGGGTGTGATGTATGCTCACCGTTGTTTAGCCACTTTTGCATTTTTTCTGGCTATGGAACACTTCCTATAAGATATGGAAGAGGAACTGAAGAATTCCGTTTTCAAACTCCATACTGTCTATTTACGTCATCAATAAACAGTTATGGAGTGCCTGCTACCTGCCTGTTGCATGCTAAGCAGCTGAGGATTTACAAAAACAGTAACATGATCTTTGTTACTATTGTCCAGTGAAGCAGACCTAAAACATAAATATAAAGCAAGGTTAAAAAATGGCTGCATACGGATGAAGGAAAGATTCTGTAATTTGATTTTGAGTGTGGTAAGGAAAGGCTTCCCGGGCACCCACATTTCATTCACTCAGTTGATTCAACAAATACTTGTTGAGCACCTGCTAGATGCCAGGCGCTTCCAGGGACCCAGCAGCCGACTGAATAGACAAAACCCCTTGATTTCATGGAACATTCTACTGAGTTTACATTGCATCAGAATCTTCAAGGATGAATGAATGTTTGCTATGGGGAATTATGTCAAAGGCATTCAAGCCAGATGGGGCCCCTAAAGAAAGAAGGAGGTGCAGGGTGCGTTGCAGGACCTACAGGGGATTCTGTATGGAAAATGCCAGAAGCTAAGACTAGACTAGTCAGCACCCTAATTGTGAAGAGCCTCGGATGCTGCACAGTGTAGTGTAAACGGCTCTGCCCTAGGTCATAGGAAGCTGTTGAAAGACTCCAGTCAGCGGTAGGACGAGCGCAGATACGCTCCTCGGGTTTCTAATTACAGTATTTGCTTGTTAAATACCTATAGTTTCCCAACAGCTCCTGAAGTTTGAAACTGTCTTCTATTGTGATGCATTGAGCTTTCTTTATTGTATTGAATTAATGATATGATTGCTAAAGCAGCCAACTGTAACTTGTCCCTACTTTGGTACTCTGGTTAATATATAGATTACTAGTTAACTAGTGATGCAGTTATATTTATGTTTTATAAATGTCTGCTTCATTGGACGTAGACTGGAGAGCAGTTTTTAAAAAGTAAAATTGAAAGATTGACTGATAGAAAAATCCACATCTAACAAATGGCGTCTGCTCATAAGATCTTTTCATTGTTTTTGGTATTCTGTACCTTCAGTATAATGTGTATAATCGTGAACTTTCTAAAATGTATTCAGTGGGGAGGCACAGGAGTCTCTTCGCCTACAGATTGCTGTCTGTCCGTCAGTTGGAAAATTCAGCCTTTATGTTTTCCAATATCGTCTCTGCCCTGTTCTCTTTTTCTATTCTTCAGCAGCTCCAATTAAGCAAATATAGGATCCTCTAATTGTATCATATTTATCTCAAAGCTTCTTTCATATTTTCTGTGTCTTAATCTCTCTGGGCTGCATTCTGAAATTCTTCTTTGCTTCTGTTTCCTACTTCACTCCTCCACTTCCGCTGTGTCCATTTTGCTGCTAAACCCACCCACGGAGTTTTTAGTTCCTGCCATGATTCTTCTTTCTTATATGTTTGCCCTTTGCTCACATTTTTAAGACTCTTTTTAAAGCATAGTTGTCATACTTATTTTATAGTCTAGAATCATTCTAACACCTGTGGTCTTTATAAGTCAGCCATCTTTTATGTCCATTTTTGCTTTTATATTTTGTAACCTCGATTCCTTCTGTGTTTTATGATTTTTGGCCATGACCTCATATTTCTGGGAACTTTACCTGTGGGAATTATGTGACGTGTGAGTTAAAAGTGAATTCAAGGAGAACTTAGGGTGGACACCTAGCCCAGTTATTTGTAGCTATTAATAATTTAGGACATCTTGTTGGAGACCCTTTTGGACTATGTAGGTGTGAATTCTGAAGGTAATTCTTCTGGGTGTTTGACCTCTGGTCACAAATGCCCAGGGGAGACTTGTTCCCTCTTCTCAGCTACAGCGTGCCAAGGTTTGCTTTGGCAGTTTTCCTGGCAATCCAGTGGGAGTGTTATTCATATTCATCTTTACACTGAGTCTTGCTTTTTTTGGTACAGGCTCCTTTTACAGGAACCTTGGGCAGACCCTGGGCTTGGTCGCCTGATGACCTTTCATACTTGGAGGCCTTAGAAACTGAAGTTCAAGTTCATCTGATTTGGTAAACACCAAATGTTTAAAAGTTAGATTTGGTGTTCTTTTTCAATCAAAACTTAGTTTTTGGTGTCTGAGTACTCTTTTAACAAAATGAAACATTTTTAATTCATTTTGAAAGAATCCTTTAAATTTTTTTTAGCTTTTTTAATTGTTTTCAGTTGGTCAGGGTACTAATCTACCTAAACACACTGCCTCTGTACATCAGGTCCTGCCTTGCCGATGTTGCAGTAATAATTAACCCCCAAATCACAGAAGCTTAACTAAGATTAAGTTTCTTAAGTTCTGGGTTTTTTTTCTCATTAATGGAAAATTTGGTATGGTTGGGGCAGCATCCTCCATTTTATATGTAAGCCAACTGTAACATGTTGTAACAACAAGGGAAGCAGATTGCTAGAAAGTGGTACCCCGTGTTTTTAAAGGCCAGGCCTGGCCATGCCTTGTGTCACCTTTGATGGGAACATAGTTACACTGTCCCAGCCCAACTGCAAGGCAATCTGGGAAAAGAAGGTTGTTTGTGGCCCAGGAACTGCAAACACTGTATGATCACAAAACATTGTTTCTGTCTAATTGCCAGAAACTGAAGTTTGGAAAGGAAGTCTGGGTCATAACCCTACATCATTTCTAGGAACATCATTTTTTTTCATTTATGAAACATGTTAAACCTTCATTAGCTGTTAAAGCAGGATCCCCTGTTTGCCCAATACAGTGATCGTGTTGAGTGTACCTGCATAGCCTACCTGCCCCCAAACAATGCCCCCAAGATTCTCTCTAGTAATTTCGATTTTGTCTCATTGAAATAACCAGAAAATGACTTGATCCTAAGAAAGTCATTATGATATAATGTGGGGAGAAAAGCTGTTACATGACCAGACCCTCTGTCGCATAGAGGAATGACAGCGTTTAGTGATGGGGGGGGATCAGCAGTGCTGGCTTGGCTCCTCTTTGCCATGCGATTCCAGGGAATCTTCCAGAGACACATTCTCGGTCACTGTTTTTCACTCACTTTGGATGAGAGACTAGTAAGACAATTACTAATACAGTAATACAGATGCAGAAGTCAAAGGAGCATGTTTGAGGGCTTAAGATATGAACCGACCTCATGTAGCCTATCATATTTTTAAACACCTTTAATTGTTCACTTATGAAATGTGATTAACACTAAAAATCAATTGAAACGATACTAAAATTATTGCGTAGCAAGATTCCACATCCTAGAAATGGGACTTGCATCTTGGAACTGAACTGGCTTTGCCAAGTGTATTTTCATGTAACTATGTGTTATATGCTACATGTATACTAGAGTATGCAAATATATTAATATTATGTGGTGTGAGTATTCTGGGGGCATATTCAGAAAGGATGCCTACACCGGATACTGTTCATTGTATCAGGACTTAAAGGCACAATCAGAATGGACAGAAGAAACACCATAAAATTAAATTGAAACTGTTTTCAAATGGTGTGGAATGAGGCTGAAGAAAATCAATCTGTTATGCTTCAGTGCCAAATAAAGAATGGTTTAAATTTTTTTAAAACATATCTTTAAGTTGAAATTCAACAAATAGCTGTCCTTAAGAAATAAGGTAATTCTGCGGCTTTTTCCAGAAGCATCTCATTTGAGCTTCATAACAATACTGTGGGGAAACAGGACAGATAACACAGTGGCACAGTCGCATGTTTTGACTAAACACTTTTCCACTGCACTGCATTTCTTCTTTCATGGGGCTAATGGACTGAGATGCAGACGACAAGCTATTAAAAACAAGTCGCCACTTAATTATCCATAAATAGTGTGTAATTCAGTGGTCAGTTGGTGTGTGTCTATAAATGTATATATTCTCGATAATATTATTTTCAAATAAGATAAGCCTTGGATACACTTTAAGAGTATACCCCACCATGTTACTGTACCCCAGAATTAAAAAACAAATGACTCTGAATTTTCAACTATAACAAAATCTGATACAATAAGAATCCTCATCATTTAAGTGGATTCAATGAGATTACCACTGAGCTTTGCTAAAATACTTCAAAAGTGGTAAAAATCAATATATGTTAATTATTACGGGTATTATTTTTGAGGACAGTGTCTTCTAGACTTGGTTCCATAATTAT